CTCGCTTCTACTGGTATTTTGCCAACGGATTTATTAACATACAGTTTTTCTAATGAAAGCGAGTTTTATTGCAGGCAGGACTTCTCTTCGCAAGAGCAAACTAAAGCTAATTACTGGTACGCCTGCATCACCAGTACTCTAATGACATGATTTGATTCTAATCTTTTTCCTATTTCTTGTAACCATATGATATTTTTTGAGTAAATTGTAGCCATAAGGTAGTAAATGGTCCTTGTCTGTGGATATTGGTAATGTTATGCCTTTTTTTTTTTTATGTTATGTTAATTATAATTACAGTTTAAAAGAATATTATACATTTTGATTGCATCTTTATGGTCTTATATATACTTTTGTTAACAGCTATTGCTACAACAACAATTGGAGTATTGCTAGTTTTTATCATTGTTGCAACTGTTGTCATCAGGAAGAGAAAGGAAATTTTTAGGAAGTTGATTAAGAGTGACCGAGATATTGAGATTTTGATAAAAAATTATGAAACTCTAACTCCCAAAAGATACAACTTTTCATATGTCAAGAAAATGACCAATTCATATAAGGAAAAACTAGGCCAAGGTGGTTATGGAGATGTCTACAAAGGGAAGTTACCAGATGGTCGTTTTGTAGCTGTGAAGGTCTTAAATCCATCCAAGGGGAATGGTGAAGAATTTATCAATGAAGTTGTAAATATTAGTAGAACTTCTCATGTCAATGTTGTTACACTATTAGGATTTTGTTTGGAGGGTGAAAAGAGAGCTTTGATCTATGAGTTCATGCCAAATGGATCTCTAGAAAAGTTTATATTCAAGGAAGGAACTTCAGAGGATAATCATCACTTGGGGTGGGAACAACTATATCATATTTTTGTTGGAATAGCTCGAGGGCTTGAGTACTTACACCGTGGATGCAACACAAGGATTTTGCATTTGGACATAAAACCCCACAACATTCTTCTTGACAAAGAGTTTTGCCCAAAGATCTCTGATTTTGGATTGTCCAAACTATGCACTAGAACTGACAATATTGTGTCAATGATGGGGCCTAGAGGCACAATTGGGTATATAGCTCCAGAAGTTTTTAATAGAAGCTTTGGAGTTGTTTCACACAAATCTGATGTTTATAGCTATGGAATGATGATTCTTGAAATGATTGGAGGAAAGAAGAGCATTCAAATGGAGGTAGGTGCTAGTAGTGAGTATTTTCCAGATTGGATTTACAAACATCTAGTATTGGTTGATGAAAATGAACTGCAGGGTTTGAGGTCCAAAGCGGAAACTAATATTGAAAAGAAGATGATATTGGTTGGTCTCTGGTGTATACAGATAAAACCTTCTGATCGACCCTCAATGAACAAGGTGATTGAGATGTTGGAAGGAAGTGTAGAAGCCTTGCCAATTCCACCTAAGCCCTTCCTTTCTTCCCCTTTGAGACCAGTACCAGATTCAGTGGCCACATCAAGTTACGATAGTGTATCAATAGTAGATGAAA